AAAAGTATGTGATAGAAAGCTTTAAATAATAGGAGTAAATTCCTTCCTGGACAGCAGGACTTGTGAGAAGCTCTATCTCATTTCTCAAACAGTACCAACTCCAACAGCATATTTGCTGAAACAATCAGTGACTTAAAGAAATAAGAAGTTTGGGATAATTTACTTGTGCCAAACTAAACTATGATAAACATGTTATTTCTTTAAACCTTTTGACTTTGGCTTTTCTTTGTTCTTTCCACTGCATCCAATAACACAATGCACACATGTGCACATGCACTAAATGATGATTATATTATAGAGATATATGTAGTAATATATTTTTTAAGATGGCAAAGTCTTCTCTACTTTTAATTATAAACTGCTGCCTGCTTATGATTTAGGCCATATATTTTTAATATAATTCAATTAAATGAGTAATTGTGTTTACTCCGTATTCTATAGTGAATTATTTGCAGAGATTCATCCATAGGTTTTCTTTAAGGAACATGCAGAAGAATGGATGATCTTTTTTGGACCAGCCTTGACATAGTCAGAAGGTCTTTCCAAGTCAAGAATTCCTCATCAGCTGATGCTTTATTTTGGAATGATTACTTTAGGAGAATTCAGGTGGTAATCTACTTAAAATAGACTTTTGGAATAATTCAAGAAATGTATAAATGTATTCTTATTGTAAGAACAGAAATGACCCATTTACTCTCTGCTCTTCACGTACCTTTTTTTAAACTGACTTTTTGACTATCACTGCAACATCATTCTTTTTCTGTTTTTCATTTCTAGCATAGTATACCATGTGATTGTCACATTCAAAGTGGCCAAAGCTAGTCTGTCTCATCTCACTAATGCCTAGAATGTTGATGTTCATGCATTCCATTTCATTTTTCTTCTCATTTTCCAACATTCGTACTTCACACATTCCATGTTCCAATTATTAAAGGATGTTTGCCACAATTTTTTCTCATTTTGATCGACTTCCAATCTGGGCTCTGCCTCTAATACTATTAACTATCCATGTTCTGCTACTGTTCAGAGTGTTTTCAGAGGCCTATTATTTAAGTGGATGAACACACCGGCTTCCTAGTCTGTCTTAATCTGGGAGCTCTACTGAAACCTGCCCACCGTGACCCTTGTGGCATTTGACACATCAATGACATGTAGCTTTCCGCATCTCAACAACCCATAAATTACCTCAGTACAGCAAACTGATAGACAAGTGCTATTCTAATTAGAGCATGTATTCCCCAAATACAGCAAACTGACAGTTTAGTGTTGCATGTAATATTGAATATGACATCAAAATCAGAGGAAGATTCACCAATAACCTATGCTCCAGCAACCAGGAAATTAAAAGCTGTATTGTGTTGGGAAAGTCTGCTGTCAGAGTCCTCTCAAAAGTACTGAAGAGCAATGATGTCAGTCTGGAGACTAAGGTGCTCCTGATACAGGCCATGGTCTTTGCAATTACTTGCTATGCATCAGAGAGCTGGACAATGACTAGGGATGATAGAAGGAGAATTGATGCCTTTGAGCTGTGATGTTGGAGAAGAGTATTGAATATACCATGGACTGCTAAGAGAACAAACAGATTCATCCTGGAGAGGGTAAAGCCACGCTGCTCCTTGGAGGCAAGGATTCTGAAGCTTTATCTGACATACTTTGGACATGTTGTAAGGAGGGACCAGTCCTTGAAGAAGGACAGCATGCTTGGGAGGGTGGAGGGATAGCACAGAAGAGGAAGGCCCTCAATGAGATGGATTGATTCAGTGACTGGAGTAATGGGAGGTGGGTTTGTCTGAGACTGTAAGATTGGCCCAGGATAGAGCAGGGTTTAGGGCTGTTGCACATAGGGTCATTAAGAGTCATAGGCAACTTGACGTACATAATAACAACAACAACATGCAGATGACACAACGTTGCTTGCTGAACGTAAAGAGGGCTGGAATAATTTGTTGGATGAAATCAAAGAATGCAGCATTTGATATGAATTGCATCTCAACATCAAGAAAACAAATCTTTCCACTGAATCAATAGGCTGCATCATAGTGTATGGAGAAGAGGTTGAAGTTGTCAACAATTTCATCTTACTTGGATCGACAGCACCACTGGTACCAGCAGTCAGGAAATTAAGAGACATACTGCACTGGGAAAATCTGCAGTCAGGGACTTCTCCAAATTATTGAGGAGCAACTAAGTCATTTTGATGACTAGAGTGTGTGTAATTCAGGCCATCGTCTGTCTTATCACTTGCTATGCATCTGAGAGCTGGACAGTGAATCATGATGACAGAAGAAGAATTGATGCCTTTGAGCTGTGGTGTTGGAAAAGAGCACTGAACATCCTATGGACTGCCAAAAGAACAAACAAATATGTTTTGGAGAAAGTACAGCCAGAGTGCTCCATGGAAGCAAAGATGATAAAGTTTCATCTCACACGCTTTGGGCATATTGCTTAGGAGAGTCTGTTTCTTGGAGAGGGACAGAAAGCTTGGAAGACTCTCAACTAGATGGATTGATGGTGGCTGCCACAATGAGCTCTAACATGTCAGGAAGTATGAGGATGGTACAAGATAGGGCAGGGTTTACATCTGTTGTTCATAGGGTCACTATGAGTTGTACTTGACTCAACAGCACCAAACAAAAACATAACTTCACTTATCCATGTACTTGGGTTTCAAAGATCAAGTTGTTATGCAATAAAAAAAAATGTTATGTGAAAATGAAAGATGACAAAATCAGATCACAAAATAGGGTATGTCTTCGTTCTTACAAAACTCCCAAACCCCTGAAAATTGTGGTCCAGCAAAGTGGGCACATTACCTTAACCATCATAGCCAGCTTATTGTCCCCCTACATCCTAGTTTTCATTTCTATTAGATATGCATCTTTAATGCACAAAGTAGTGGATAGTAAAGGTGGTTGTTTTTATTTAACTATTGTTGTTGTTATGTGCCTTCAAGTCTCATAGCAACCCTGTGTACAACAGCCCTACACCCTGCTCTATCCTGTGCCAATCTTACTTTCTCTGATACACCTACTCCCATTGCCCCAGTGACTGAATCAATCCATCTCATAGAGGGTCTTCCTCTCCTGCATTGTCCCTCCACTCTCCCAAGCATGATGTCCTTTTCTAAGAACCGATTCCTCCTTGCAGCATATCAGAAGTATGTCAGACAAAGCTTCAGAACACTTGCCTCCAAGGAGCAGCCTGATTTTACCCTATCTAAGATGAACTTGTTTGTTCTCCTAGCAGTCCATGCTATATTCTGCACTCTTCTCCAGCACCACAGCTCAAAGGCATCAATTCTTCTTCTATCATCCCTAGTCTTCGTCCAGCTTTCTGTTGCATAGCAAATAATTGCAAAGACCATGGCCTGTATCAGGTGCACCTTAGTCTCCAGACTGACATCGTTATTCTTCAATACTTTTGAGAGGTTTCTGGCAATAGACTTTCCCAATGCAATTCATCTCTTGATTTCCTGGCTGTTAGTCCCAAGACTGCTGATTGTAGAGCCAAACAAACTGAAGCTGTTGACTCTCTGAATTTCTTTGCCATCCATCATGATACTGTCAGTCAGCCCAGTGGTGAGAATCTTTGTTTCTTGATGTTGAGCTTCAATCTGTATTGAAGGCTGCAGTCTACGACCTTCTGCAGCAAGCTCTTCAGGCCCTTCTCAGTTTCAGCAAGCAGGGTTGTGTCATCTGCTATAACTACCATTTGTAACTATTGTTATAAATGCAAAATAGTCAATAAATGAGAAGTAGTTATAATGTGAAAAAATAATACCCTGTTTCAACTCAACTCCTTAAATCCATTGTTGTCCTAAAGAGTAATCTCTCTGTGTGTGTGTGTGTGTGTGTGTGTGTGTGTGTGTGTATGAAACCCTTCTTTTCAGAGCCTTATAACACTGATCTATAAAAGTGAGGTTCTAGTCTAACATACATGAAACAGTGACACCTATGAGAATTGGATCAGGACAGGACCACATTGTTTTTCTATTTCTTACATGTTTCCTGTAATTGACAGGATGCAGTCTTTACTGGTTTTAGTGGAAAATATTTACCTTTTCCTTTCCTGACAGGTTTCCACCTACACAGATTTCAGCTTTAGCTAGTTTTACGTATAACCAACTGCCAGCAAATTAATCTTGATTCTTGGCAACCTGTGAGTGTGTCACGGTAGAACTGTGTCTTATGGAATTTTCAGCAACTGATTTTCTAAGTTCCCCAAACCTTTCTTGCAGTGAATGCCTCTGGGAGGACCTAAACCTTCAGATTTTGGGGTTGTAGTTAGCATGTTAACAGTGTGTATGCTTAAGGGCTTCAGCCACACAATATTGTTGTTGTTGTGTATCATTGAGATAATTTCAAGTAATAACGATCCTATAGAACTGAGTTGAACTTCGCCTTAAGGTTTTAGTACTTAGTTAAAAAAAAAATGAGGAGCGTTTTCCAAACACTGCATCTTGAAGGAATTATCATATTGATGCATATGTGTGTCTCTGATTAACCACAGCTTCATTTTCTATAATCTGGATGTAATTGTTTTTTAAATGTTCCTTAATTCATGTCCATTTCATCCATTTCCAGTGTTTCACTGTTATGAAGACTGTCACAATGAATAGCTCTGCCCTTGTCTTTGTCTGAAAAAAATAAATGGGCATTTCTTTAGAAAACTTCCCCTAAAGTAGAATTGCTGGGCAAAAAAATATGCACATTTAAAATTCCAACAAATGTGTCAATATTTTTTTTTCTACCAAAAAGCTGCATAAACTGACCCCTTTGCTAACAGAATGTGAACTTAACTCTTTCCTCACCTTCTTTGCCAAGACTAGATACTGCCATTCTTTGAAATTACCAATTTTGTGGCCAAGAAAAGGACATCGTGGTGTTGTGTCATTACAGTTCCTCATGGAGTGAGTGTAGTTGTGGGGGCTGCTGAGAGCTATGTATGCATGACATTCCATTCCCTCTGTGTCTAAGTGTCCTTTTGCTGTCCCGTTTCAGATGCTCACTACCTTACCTGCAGGATCCAGGAATGTGCAGAGACGACCCGGAGTGGGCCCTTTGCTCGTTCCATTGACATCAGTTCCCTGGTGGTGCAGGATGAATATATCTTCATCCAGGTAAGAATGGAAAGGCCCTCCAGGGGGAGGGAGGCTGTGTAAGGGAGATCAGCTGCCTGTTAGAAAAACAGGCACATTTTATCCTGGGTTAGGGAGCTGGGAGCTGGGGCTAGTGCCCCTCCTTTTCTTTAGATCCCCAATCCCTATAGGATGGAGTCTTCTGTGCTTCAGAAGTTTCTCTTTCTCAATTCAATTAACAACTGGAGTCATAGGTGATGGTAGGTCAGTGAACCTACTCATTTTTACAAGAATCTACTGAGAACATAGGATACAAAACAAAACCGTTGTTGACCTTCCTGTTTTCTTTGAGGGAGATTGTTTTGTTTTTTTTTGACGCAGTACTCCCTGACTCTGTGTACTACTTCTGCGTTCTGTTACTCACACCAACAAGCTGTGGCTTCTCCCCTCCCAGGCATTGCAAATCTAGATATATAAGAGCTATCTCCATATCACAACATACCTGTTTCACAGATAAAATGAAATCAGCCAATTTCCTATGGACCTGAACTGGGAGATCAATCTGTATCAACCTTGGTCATTTCTCAGGTGTTTTATTGTCATCCCATTGTTATGGTTCCATTGTTATGGTTAATATTTTGGGAGCTCTGATGGCCTAGTGGGTAAGAGATTGCACTGCCAACTTGGTGGCAGGCAGTTTGAATCCACTAAGCTGCTCCAAAGGAGAAAGATGGGCATTTTCCCCATGCACATTATAGCCTCTTGAAAATCCACTGAAGGGTCAGTTATGAGTTGGTTATAACTTGGTGACAAATAAGAACAACAATTTACTATGTTTAAAATAGGAGCTCATTCCTGTCGAGTAAGAACCAATTCATAATTGAGTCTGGGAGGAGGCTGTGAGCCACACGCGAGGAGATTGCCCGTCTTTCATCCACAGCCACTGGTGAATGTAAACTACCAGAGGTGCCACTTTTGGGTTAGTTAGCATTTCAGTTCCCTGTAGACGGTGCCACCTGGGCAAAGTAGGAGGTAAGGAGTGATGGATGAATTTACCATGAAGATTCCTCTTCTTTTAATATCATATATGATGATGATCATTGCAAAATTATTGCTGACAAATATGACTTAAAATGCAAAATGTCTGGATTTTGGTTTTCATTTTATTTCCTTTTGTTGATAAAGTTGGGTTTTTTATTTTTGTGTAAACAGATATACATATATAGTGTGCTAGAAGGTGACATTAATTTTTCTTTCTCTTGACTGGGATGTCTTGATGTCTGTTTATTAAATAAAGCTTTATTGATTGACTACAAGGCCTAATGAATTCAAAGTGCTAGAGATAAGACAGTGGACACTCTCTGCCTTATTAGAGCTTTGGTAGCTTAGTGGTAAAGAATTGCACTGCCAACCTGAAGGTATGCAGTTCAAATCTACCAGCAACTCCCCAAGAGAAAGATGGATAATTTCCTCCCATGTAATTTACTGCCTCTGAAAACTTGTTGGAAGGTCAGTTATGAGTTGCTTGCAACTCAGTGGTCCTCAACAACAAATACATTCTAATAGGAGAGGGTGTGTGTGTGTGTATAATATGTGGGGATTGGGGGAGAGGAAGACGGAGAGAGAAAGAGAGAGAGAATGAGTATGAGTGAGGGTGAGCAAGTGAACTCTGATCTCATAGTATTAGTACTGAAGGAATTTCACTTCTAGCCCAAAGGCCATGCGTTAATGGCAGTTAGAATCTTCCAGAAGCTCCAAAGGAGAAAGATGGGAAATCTCTTCCTGTGCCATTTCTAGCCTCAGAAACCCAGTGGAGCGTCAACCATGGGTCAGTATCCTTTCACCATATTTGTTTAATGTGCGTGCTATGCAGTTAATGCGAGAGGCCATACCATATGAAGAAGACTGTGGTATCAGAATTGGAGAAGATTCATTAATTGCCTTCATTACAGCCTGTGACACAGCCTTGCTAGCTGAAAACAAAAACAGCTTGAAACACTTGCTGATGAATTTCTAACACTATGAATTTTGCTTCAACATGAAGGAAAAAACAGATTCTCACACCTGAACCAGTAAACCACGACTTATTAAATGGAGAAAAAATTCATGTAGTCAAAGATTTCATTTTATTGGATCCACAACAATGCGCATTTTTTCAATCAGGAAATGAAATGACATATTGCACTGGGCAGATCTCCATAGGAGCTCTTTAAGGTGCTAAAGATAAAGAATTTTGCCTTGAGGAATGTAGTGTGCATGGCCCACGTCATGGTATTTCCATTCCCCTCATATGTATGTAAAAACTTGACAATGAGGAAGAATACAAAAGAAAAATTGGTGCCTTAGGGGTCTGGTGTTGGCAAAAAAATACTGTCCATACCATGGACTGTCAAATACCAAGAACAAACACGTCTACTTTTGAAGAAACATAGCTGCAATAGTCCTTGGAAGGCGGGAGGGGAGACTTTGTTTCATATACTTTGAGAATATCATTAGGAGGGACGAGTCTCTGGAGAAAGCTCTTTTTTCAAGGCAATTCTATTTTCATGGTAACGTGTTAAAAAAAGTACACAGTTTGCATTGTTCACTTATTCATTGTGGTCCAGTGGGAACTGAATTACAGCCGACCCTCCAGCGGGTTTTCAGGAGCTGTAAATCATACAAGGGGGAGATTGTCCATCTTCCTAATTCAGAACAGCTGGTGGATTCAAACCTCTTGCCTTTTGATTGACAGCACAACCCCTTTCCCACTAGGCCACCAGGGCTCCCTGAATTTGCACAGTGCTTATGAAAATAACCACGCAGGGAGAGGGCAGGATTGACAGGCAGTTGTAGAAAGTATTTGCATGAAGAGAAAATATTTTAATAAGTATGATTTCATAGATAGACTGTATCTTGGAGCTCTGGTAGCCTCTTGATAAGGAGTTTCCCCACTGGTGGCTCAGCAGTGAGTCAATTTCGACTTGATCCATAACACCAGCGTACTATTTTTTTTTTTTTACTTTTAGACAATATCTGTTGAATTTTTGGTTTTTGAGAAATCATAAAATCAGTATATTCCCAGGCTTCAAGTCTTCCTCTCCATTCCCGTTAATGTATTCATAGCCCTTTTTGAGTGATTCTATTATTTCGCAGTGTATTTACCTTATTATGTGAAAATATAGTTCAGTAAATCTTACATATTTCATGAACCATGGCTGGAAAAGGTGGGAAGAAAACCAGTGTACTCTCCGGACTCACCGCTCTCCTCCATCTAGTCCTAGTCTTTGCTAATTATGCATTTACAACATTGTCGTTCTGCTCTGAGCCATCCTTCCCCCATTTTCAAAATTTTAGTTTCACAAGTAAATGTGCCAAACTGTCACTCGCAGCCCTTTTTCTGATTTTCGATTTAGTTTGGTTTGTCTAAAGTTTGCTCTTTAATAATGCCTTCACGCCGAGCTCATTCTTGAATGTGTAAAAGACATTTTTCTTTTCCCTTTATGCTTTACTATCATTTGTCAGGAGATAAAATTTATGTGTCATTCTCTTTGCTCCATTAACTTCCAGGATGAAAGAGTTGCATTTTACTCTGTGTAGCTACTCTGTAATTTTCCACTTTCAAGTGCCTTGATTTACTTATTTAATTATTATTTTTACTGTTTCTTCTTTTATATCCTTGATATCTAAAGTCTCTTTTTCTCTGTATTGGAATGTCAAGTGGTGGGTTTTTTTTTTTAAAAATAAAGTTTTCATTTTATACTGGTTTACTTACAAAGTTTGTATACATTGTGTTTTACACTAGCTCTTTCCCATAGAAATGCCAAGTGCTTTTAGTGAATGCTGTTTTACTCTTGGTCATGCCGTGTACATTTTCTCCTGGAATATGATTCTCATTCACGAAATAAATTTTATTTATCAGTTTTTTCTGTGATCCATATCTTTGAAGTACATGTTTACTTACATTATTTTTAGTATTTTTCTGTAGGACACTCACCACATATAGGATAAATGTGAAAGACAAAGGAGAAAGAGTAATTTCTTTCACTTAACTTTTCATCCACCTGTACACTAAGGTGCACCCGATATAGGCCACAATCTTTGCCATTACTTGCTATGCATCAGAAAGCTGGACAATGACTAGGGATGATAGAAGGAGAGTTGATGCCTTTGAGCTGTGGTTCAGGAGAAGAGTATTGAATATATCATGGACTGCTAGGAGAACAAGTTTGTCCTGGAGAGGGTGAAGCCAGGCTGCTTCTTGGAGGCAAGGATTCTGAAGCTTCGTCTGACATATTTTGGACATGTTGCAAGACAGGGTCAGTCCTTGGAGAAAGACGTCATGCTTGGGAGGGTGGAGGGACAGCGTAGGAGAGAAAGACCCTCAATGAAATGGATTGATTTCAGTGACTAGGGTAATGGGGTAGGTGTATCAGAGACACTAAGATTTGCACAGGATCGATCAGGGTTTAGGGCTGTTGTACATAGGGTCACTGTGAGTTGCAGGCAACGGCACATAACTACAACAAGCCTACTGAGGAAATGGAAGTGAGCCACAGTCTCCTGGAAAAAGTGCTGAACAGTGTCCAAGCTCCTTTCCACTGTGCTTATTTGCTTTATTTTTTAAGTCTTGTCAACTTGTATTTCCCCTTTTTGCCTTATCTCACCATATCTTCCCTGAGCCCTTATATTTCTGCTTTGAACTCCTAGTGATAAAAGTGCCTCATCATGCATGGAGTTCTGCTTTCTTTTTAACACTTAGCAATATTTTTATATTATGAAATGGGAATTGTGGTCTAGTTGGGATTTTTCATTTGCTCCATGGAAGGACTTTTGCGCTCTCTTTTCCTGTCCTCTCCCCTGGTTTATTTTTCTGTTTGATTTTATCATATTTGTGCAGTTCTTTTTTTGTATTTTTTTGCGAGTTTGCATACAGTAATTCATGTCCGTTTCGTTCATGGACATTGTGCTTTATACAATCTTTCATTGACATTGTGTTTCATATAATCATTCACTTCCATTGTATTAAATTACTCTTGACCTGCTTTTCCACACTGCCCACT